TGATTTGGTGGGGACCTTACTGTCACCCCTTCACAGATCAGGCCCGATGCGGCTTTTCCAGCCCCCAGCCCCACCCCCACCATATTGAACCCAAGGATGATGCCATCACTCCTGTCCAAAGGCCTCAGCCTGTCACCACCCACTACCTGTTCAGTCTCACAGGCACAGGGATAAGGTAGCCACCTTCTCCCCCCACCCTTTTCCCCTTTTGTGTCCTTCTTAGGAGACACCCCACAGGGACAAAACACACCCAAGAGTGGGAACGCTTCCTGCTGGGCACATCTAATACATATGGGAGCACATGCCCTGACAACACACAACCTCATAGTCCCAAGCCCACATTGGGGCTCTGTGTCCACCCTGTCATGTCCTATCTGCCTGGACTCCACACCTCGTATGTCAGAAACTTCTCTGAAAGTCTGCTCCGAGTTCAGAGCACGTGGGAACACCTCATTTCCCACTCTAAGTTCTGAACACACCATGAATATGCGCCCCATGTCCCACTGCACTCCTGGGCACCCAGTGCAGCACTGAAGGCAACCTGGCCAAAGACCTGAGGTGTCCTCGTGCGAGACTCAGAGTAAAAACACACCCCCCAGGGGCGCTTGGGTGGCTCAGCGGATTAAAGCCTCTGCCTTCCGCTCAGGTCATGATCTCAGGGTCCTGGGATCAAGTCCCGCATCAGGCTCTCTGTTCAGCAGGGAGCCTGCTTCCCCCCACCCCTCTCTCTGCCTGCCTCTCTGCCTACTTGTGATCTCTCTCTGTCAAATAAATAAATTAAAAAAAAAAAAAAAAAGAAACACACCCCCCAGAAGCCACCTACTGTAGTGGTTGGCGCATATCTTCAGGGTCTTGTCCCTCCTCATGAGGAGGCGGATGGTCCCTTTTTCCTTATGCTTCAGAAGCTTAACGTCACCAGTGCCTCGTTCCTTCCACTCTGGGAGATCATTCTCTGAAGCGAATCGGAATAGCTTTGCCCGCCTTCAAGAAAAGCCATTGAGAGAGAACTTAGATGAGCAAAGAGAGAAGTAAGTAGTGAAACACTGACTTGGAAAGAACACTGGTTTTCTGTGCACTGAACAAATGGCTGTATCTGGCGCCTCCAGAGACGGCCTTTGCTTTCTTTGACCATCTAGGACTGTTGGTCAAAAAATTACCAAAAGAGCAAGACAATAACAAATTTCAACATAAAGACCCAACTTCTCAGCAAACATACCTCCGAATACACCAAGCTATCCTGTGATCACAGTGCCGGGGAGCCCCTGGGGTCCCATAGGGCCACAGGGATAACATGGAAGCAGGTGAGATCAAGGACCCCTGCCCTCCAGGACCCCTGCTGTGAGATGCCCCCCCCCCCTGCCTTCCCGGGCCCCCCAACCCAGAGAGAGGGCTGCAGACCTCCTCTCAGGCTGCCAGGCTCTGGCCAACACCCTGCCTTCCTGCCCAGAATAGCACCTCATACTGGGCCCAGCCAAGGCCCCCACCCAGCCAGGCACTGAAGCCCACATGATGAGCCCAGCAGTCCTGCATTTAGGGCTTTAGGCCGAAGCCCTCCATTCCCTTTCCCTACCCAACCCAAGCAGTGTTGGTCCATTTCCTGCATAACACTCTGTTCTCTCCCCCAAGCTAAGGGAAACAGTGCCCTCACAAGGATGCCACCAGAGCTTTCACCTGGAGCTCAAGGCCCCAGACGAAAAGGCCTGACCTGTTGGCCTTGCTTCCCTCAGGAAGGTCCTGTGCCCAGGGCCGCCAGGAGCAGTTCTTAGCCCTTTGTGGGCGCACATTTGTGTGACAGCAACAGCACCAGCAGCAGTCCCCAGTTCTGGGAGAAACCAGTCCCTGGCTATCGCACCATTTCTGGACAAAGCAGTGATGTGAAGAACCAGTGTCTTCAGGGACACGCCCACCACTCTCTGAGACCAAAGGGGTATATGTGACTCTCCCTCCCCAGACCTTTGGGGGTGGTGGGAAGGGGTTCGTCTCCCCAGTCGGCCTTTCTTAGAGGGAGGGTCACTGTCCCTGCCCCCCACTCACACCCTCATCTGGCTTCTTCAATAGAATCTGAAGTGGAGGGGGGTGGGCAGTGAGGGAACTCCATAGCTTAGACAGGAAAAACACTCCAGCCTATTTCCATTAGCTTGTAAGGGAGCTTAGTGTTTCCTGTGATTGAGTCTCAGCAGTGCTGATTTTTTCACAAACATCTCAACACATGGCTGGTTCCAGTGCTACTTAAAAATGTCCCTTGCCGGGGCGCCTGGGTGGTTCAGTTGGTTAAGCCTCTGCCTTCAGCTCAGGTCATCATCTCAGTGTCCTGGGATCGAGCCCCACATCAGGCTCTCTGCTCTGTGGGGAGCCCTGCTTCCCCCTCTCGCTCTGCCTGCCTCTCTGCCTACTTGTGATCTTTCTCTCTCTGTCAAATAAATAAGTAAAATCTTAAAATTTAAAAAAAAAAAAAAAAAAGTCCCTTGCCATTGGAGCTTCTCACTGAAGGTGCCAAAAAACATGTGGAGAGTAATTTTTAGAAAGTAATCTTGGTAGGCCTAACACTATCCACTTTCACTTATAATTCCAGGTGTTACTCTGTGTGTTAAAAACACTGAAATGGGAATTCCCAAACTTTAAGATGCCAGAATCTATCATGCAAAAGAAAAAAAAAATAATAATAATAATAATAATGGCAGACTCCCTGTTCAACCAGAGGAAGGGTGCTGAGGGAGTCTTAGAAGTAACAAGCCTGGAAAGTGGCAAGGACAGGGGGCTGGTGAGATGCACCTTTGTGGACAGAGCAGCAGGGACAGGACACCAGGGAGCACCTGTGCTCTCCACAGCACTGGCCACCAGAAGCAGGGGCACCCAGTGAAGAGTTATCCAACCAATGTATTCTAACAGCTGCCCTGATTTCCACATTAGCCATCACACAATTCCAAGCCCTTTCTTCAAGCCTCGGTCCAATTGAAAGTCAGGCCAAGACCCTGAAACCCCTAAAAACCGTAACTTCAATCTCACACTAAAGATTCCTATGTCTGGAGCAACATGAGCTTACTTACATTTTAAAAAGCTCTTCTTCATCTTCTTCCAGCGTTTTAATTTCTTGCTCAGGAAGAGAAACTATAGGCTCAAACTGGGGGTCGTGGTTGGACTCGTCGGCATTCTCAGTGGAGGTATCATGGTCCTCATGGGTGTCCTGTGGATTGAGGTGCAGAGAGGTGACTCTGCTGGCCCTGGAGCCTGGCCCCCACACAGAGGTCAGCAGTACCGACAGTGGGCAATCTCTCCTAGTGATCTGCCTCATCCCAAAGCAAGAGATTATGCCCACAGTCTTTCACATAAAGAGAGGTTTGCACCCACATTGAGAGTGCAGTAAAATGAACGTCAGCACCCTCCCCAGATGCATCAAACCCATGTGTGGACGGCGGGATGGAGGTCCCTAAAGCTGGGCCCCCTACTGGCCAAAGAGACACTGTTTCACCACTTTCCACCTCTGTTTCCTCACCTGGAAAATGTGAATAATGACAATGCTAAGTGAAGATTAAAAGACACAATGACAGAGCAAAGCCTAAAGAAGAGTGCCACTCTTTAAGCAAATAGCAACCCTTTGAATTTTTACTGGTTGGGGGGAAAAAAAAAATCAGTGCTGTTGTTACTGAACAGGGCAAAAAAGTTACTACCCAACTGTTAGTATTTACATGGAATTCACAGTCCTGTCAGCAATTTTATCTTACATCAGAAAGTTGATGCCTCGACAGAAATCACACAAACGAGAGCAGTAAGATCCTGATCCAGTTTAGAAAACTACATAGCACAGAGGATCATAATTTAGGTTAAGTCTTACAAAACACGTGGTTTGGTGATCTGTAGTCCATAAAAAGCTGGGAGGCTTTGCTACCAAACTCGAGCCAAAAAAGAACAAATATAAGGCTTCGTTGCTTTCCTTGGTTGAACAGCAACTGCGGCTCCGCCGAGGGCAGCTCAACCCGAGTAGATGCCCGCAGTCAACAAAGCCGCCCCCACCCTGGGTCGGTGAGGCCACGACCCGACCACCTGGCTGGAACGCGAGCTTTCGCGACAGAGGCCTGTCGCGGTTCAAGACGTGAGAACAGAATGAATGAAGTGCTGCGTAGGCGACGGCAGGAAGGGACGCACGGTTTTGGTGGGAACCCTGCAAGTGGGCCGAGCCGGAGGAAACCGGCCATCGGCCCCTCATCTCAATCGAGCAGCGAAGTACACTAGAGACCAAGAAGCCGGGCGGCGGGCCTCCCCACGCCCCGATGGGGCTCCCGGCCCCACCTGGGACCGCCCCAAGGTCACGCGGCCGCCCCGCAGCCCCCGAACACGCGCGCCCCAGGCATCGCGAGCCCTGGCCCCGAAGGCCCCAGGTCGCGCTCCCCAAAGCTCCAACCACGCGCCACTGAGGCCCGCAGGCACCGAGCCCTCAAGCCAGCGGTGGTTGGTGGTGTCGGCGGCGCGGGCCGCCCACGTGGCCGCCAATAGCGGCCTCGGCCTCCAGGCCCCCACCCAGTCCCCGTCCGGGCCCGGCCGCACCTTGGCGGCCGCCATGGGGGCGCGGCGGCGGCGGCGGCTCGGCTGGCTCGGTCGTCGCTGGCTCCGCGGCCTCTCGGCGGCTGGTTGTAGCTCCTTTCCTCCGCGTCTGGCGCCGGCGCCTCCCGCCCTCCCGCTCTTCCCTCCGCCCCGCGACCCGAACCCCGACCCCTGACCCCGGCGGCGGGAAACGCGACGCGATTCAAAACCAGTGCAGCTTTATTGGCTCACACTGCGGACACTCTCATTGTCCAGCCCGCCCCGCGCTTCCCGCCAAAACGCCCGCGGCGCATGCCCGGCCCGCCCGGCAGCCAGAGGAGCGTGCACTCCCGGCAGCCCTAGCGCGCACTTCCGCCCCTCGGCGGCGCGCACCCCTGGAGCTCACCAAGGGGCAGGGAAATCGAGGCTGGCGCATGGCGATGACGTCACCGGAAGCCAGGATGATAGAGACGCTCGGCCTCGGCTGCACGCGTTGGCTGACGGGAGAGTGGCCAGCAAGGCGAGCGGCCGGCGTACCCCATACCCGAGACCCGAACGTGAGCACCGAGGGTTCGAGTCCCACCCCCGCCCGGGGCGGAGCCGGCGAGGGGCCTCGCGGCATTGCAGCCGCCGCTCTGAGCGCCCGCTTCCTTTGCCGGGCCCAGGACCGGGCAGCGGAGGCGGCCCTCGCGGGGGACCCCAGTCTGGGCAGCTGACCGACCGGACGATGAGTGACAAGCTCGACAACGAAGTAAAGTGAAGGGAGATGTTGATGGGAGACGGAGGAGGAGATGGAGGAGAACGGGATGTGGGGGGAGATGGAGATGGAGGCGGGATAGGAAACCTCTGGGAGAAAATGGGACAGGGGGTAAGTTGGGAGAGGGGAAAACGGAACGCGGGTAAGGCTGGGTGTAGATGCACTAGTGGAGGTCGGGGTGTGGGGCAAGGGGCCCTGGGACGTTCAGGTTCTAGGGTCCAGCCCTCAGCCCAGTCCTTGCCTGTCTCCACACAGGGCCCTGTGCCCATGGAGGGCTGCGACCAAGACAGCAGCAGTGCCCAGGGTAGCTCTGCAGCAGTAGCCCCCCAGGAGGAAGACAAGGAGGAGGAAGGGGGTGCTGAGGCGGCTGCAGAGTCCGTGCCTCAGCCAGGGCTCTACAGCTACATCAGAGACGACCTGTTTACCTCTGAGATCTTCAAGTTGGAGCTGCAGAACGTGCCCCGCCACGCCAGCTTCAGTGATGTCCGACGCTTTCTGGGCCGCTTTGGCCTGCAGCCTCATAAGACCAAACTCTTTGGGCAACCTCCCTGCGCCTTTGTGACATTCCGCAGTGCTGCTGAGCGGGATAAGGCCTTGCGTGTGCTGCATGGTGCCCTCTGGAAGGGCCGCCCACTGAGCGTGCGCCTGGCCAGGCCCAAGGCTGATCCTATGGCCAGAAAGAGGCGGCGTGAGGATGAGGGTGAGCCAGCAGCCACATGTATCGCAGATGTAGTGACACCTCTTTGGACCGTGCCCTATGCTGAACAGCTGGAGCGGAAGCAGCTGGAGTGTGAGCAGGTGCTACAGAAGCTTGCCAAGTGAGTGTGGGTGCAGCAGCCCCTTGGCCCCAGAGCTCTGCTCTGTGCTTGTTCAGCCCATTCTGTGCCTTGTACAGACATCCTCAGGGCCTGCACGGTCTCTTGGGTAGTTAGCTGGTAAAACCCATGTATAAGCAGTGTGCTTTCCTTGGTTGAGGGTCATGAGGGAGGGGCCAGGTACCTGGGCATTTAGAGAATGGCTGGGGATGGCTGCAGGGGAAGCGGACTGAGTCCAACCTTGGCCCCAACTCATCCTGCAGGGAAATTGGGAGCACCAACCGCGCCCTGCTGCCCTGGCTACTCTCACAGAGGCACAAGCACAACAAGGCCTGCTGCCCACTGGAGGGGGTTAGGCCATCACCCCAGCAGGTCAGGTCCGGCTGGTGTGGCCAGAAACTCCTCTCATGTCCTTGAAGGAGCTCTTCTCACCTATTTCTGCCATCCCTCTTCTGCTTTGCATTTGCTGTTGGTATTCATGGTGTGACCGTTACTTGTTGTCAGCCCCATCCCTTGGATGGCCAGGGTAAGGGCAGACATGTCTCTCTGCCTCCCTGCAGACCGAGTATCGTAATAAGTGTGAGTTTCTGGTCGGCGTTGGGGTGGACGGGGAAGACAACACAGTCGGCTGTCGGCTTGGCAAGTACAAGGGCGGGACGTGTGCTGTGGCCGCCCCCTTTGACACCATGCACATCCCTGGGGCCACCAAGCAGGTGGTGAAGGCCTTCCAGGAGTTCATCCGGTGAGGGCTTATGGCTGGGCTGTGGGCCCCAAGAAGTTCCGAGGTGGTAACTCTCTCTCTGGGAGCCGAGAGTCTGCCTGGGGGGATTCTGGGATTGTGATCTGGCGGGTGTGGCTGGAAGAGAGAGCAGGGATGCTCACCCAGTCCTGGTTGGCAGATGTTGGGGGACTCAGGGCCATTCATGGCTCCCACAGGTCCACTCCATACTCCGCGTACAACCCAGAGACGTATTCAGGCCACTGGAAGCAGTTGACTGTGCGCACCAGCCGCCGTGGCCAAGCCATGGCCATTGTCTACTTCCACCCCCAGGTCTCAGGCGGGGTGGCCCTCCTGGGGGAGGATGTCTGGGCCACAGCGAGCTGTGACGCAGCCTTACAAGGCCTTTTCTGCTGCTTACCCAGAAACTGGGCCCTGAGGAACTGGCAGGGCTGAAGGCCTCCTTGGCGCAGCACTTCATGGCGGGGCCAGGCAAGGCCACTGGGGTGACCTGCCTCTACTTTGTAGAGGAGGGACAGCGGTGAGGAGCTTGGGTAGGGGTGGGGTGGGTCCCTGCAAGGGCTGGTGACACTGACAGACGTAACCCTACCACCCACAGAAAGACTCCCAGCCAGGAGGGCCTGCCCCTGGAGCATGTGGCTGGAGACCGGTGCATCCATGAGGACCTGCTTGGGTTGACTTTCAGGATCTCTCCTCACGCCTTCTTCCAGGTAGCCCTGAGTTCCTGGGGATCATGAAGATACATGGAGGGGGGGCTTGACATGATGTCAGGATGTGATAGGGACAGTGGGCTAGGGCAGTGATAAGGGATTAGCCTGGGGAGAACATCCAGGCAGGAGAGCCACAAGCGTTGTAAGGCAGAAAAATCATTTCCTATTAGATTCTCTGATCACCTTTTGGGAGGGTCATATGTAGAGGTAGGAACAGGAGTTGGGGTGACGCCAGGGCTCTGGTGTGAGCTCTGGCACTCAGAAAAGAGGTGAAGGGTGGGTTTTCACCATCAAGTTACTCTTTAAAGCCAGGAGATCTGGCGGAATTGCTAGGCATGATGGGATTGAGGGTCATTCTGAGGACTGGGCCTCTGGCACTCAGACGGCTAGATGGTGAGGGGCGGGGGGTATCTGGAGACCTGCGAAGAGGGTGAGTGACCCAAGGATGGGGCCATGGAGACCCCCAGGCAGGAAGAATGCCCAGGGAATCCAAGTGCTTGGGGGTGAGGAGGGTTGTGCAGGAGAGAGGCCAGTGTGGGCAGCGAGACTCTGCCGGCCCATTCTCCAGGTGAACACTCTGGCAGCCGAGGTGCTCTACACAGTCATCCGAGACTGGGCCCAGCTGGACACAGAGAGCACAGTGCTGGACGTATGCTGCGGCACAGGCACCATCGGCCTGGCTTTGGCCCCAGTGAGCTCTCCTTCCCCACTGAGAACACCCTCTCCCCACCCCACCCATGTTGTCACCTGCCTCATGACCACCCCCAGTGACCCCCCCCCCCAGCCTAGTCCAGATCCTCTTTCACTCCAACACCTCCTGCCATTTCTCTCCCTAAGGCGGTGGGGATGGGGCGGGGTGCCATGAGTCTGTCTTTTCCTGGCTTCAGAGAGTGAAGAGAGTCGTGGGGATTGAGCTGTGCCAGGAGGCTGTGGAAGATGCCCGGGTGAATGCCCGAGACAACGGTGAGAGCCAGTGGTTGTTAGGGCCTGCGGTGGGGTGAGGGGCAGAGAGTTCAGTAGGCCACCTACTGCGTGGACTGAACAGTGTGCCCACGGTGCCAGAGCTGGATGATAAGCTGGCTCCTTAGCCAGCAGGTCTTCCTGGGACACCTCTGGCCAGGGACTTAAAGACACCGTGCAGACTCTACGGGGAGAGGGTGTTCTGGGTCCCCTGTGACAGGGCTGTGGTTTCATGTCCAGAGTTGAGCAATGTGGAGTTCCACTGTGGGAGAGCTGAGGACCTGGTGCCCACTTTGGTGAGCAGACTGGCCTCCCAGCAGCTCGTTGCCATCCTGGACCCACCCCGTGCTGGCCTGCGTAAGTGGCCTCCATCTGGGAGGTGTCATGGGGAAGGGGCGGGGGGCAGGGGTGTCTGGCTGGCACACCACACGGCACAGCTTCAGGCCTGATGCCCATCCTGTTTGAACCTCCTCAGATTCCAAAGTGATCCTGGCCATCCGAAGAGCTGAGAACCTCAAACGGCTCCTCTATGTCTCTTGCAACCCCCGGGCGGCCATGGGCAACTTTGTGGAGTGAGTGTGAAGTGGGGGGCCTGGGGTGGCCCCAGGACAGGGTGGACCAGGGACCCAGTGGACCCATGTGGCTGACCTTGACATTCCTTTCCTACCACAGCCTCTGCAGGGCTCCATCTAACCGGGTGAAGGGCACCCCCTTCCGGCCTGTCAAGGCTATGGCTGTGGACCTGTTCCCGCAGACCCCACATTGTGAGATGCTCCTCCTATTTGAGAGGGTGGAGCACCCCAATGGCACAGGGGCCCTGGCACCCCAGGACCCTCCACCCCAACCCCCACCAGGGCCCCCAGTGGACACCGTACAAGAAACCAGGGCTGCTGCCTCTTGCTAGCTCCCTGGAGAACTAGAATCTTGTCCTTTCAGAACAGGGGGTTCCCCAAGTCCTTGCCCCAGGATGCTCAGGCAGCATCTAGAAGGCACAAGACTTGGCTGTCCATCTGTCCCCATGGATCCTAGGCTCCCATAGCCTGTCCCCTACCACTCCTCCCCTTCTTTCTGGGTTAGCTGGGATATAATGCTAGAATAAAGAGTTTCTCAACTACTGATGTTACTGTGATGAAAACTCCTTAGCACACAGCATTCCCTTTTACCCACCCATTGTAGGTGCCGGGGGCAAGGTCAACAGGGCACCCTGAGCAGCCAGTCTGAGCCTCCATTCCTGCTAGCACTCTGTCAGCCCCTCTGCATAGTGGCAAGTCAGAGCAGAGTGTGCTAACAGCATCAGGTTTTATGCTTAATGCCAGGGAAGCAAACATCTCATGGCCCAGAGCCAGCTGTACACATAAGGTAGAACACACTGCAAGGGGCAGCCTGTCTACACAGGTAGGCCCTGTGGTCTGCCCACTTTCCCTGTGCCTTGTGAGGTGAGGTGCCGTCCCCAGCCTAACCCCGAAGGGAAACCATGGGAGCTGGGGCTGGGATTGGACGCTGCCCAGCTGCTGTAGGAACAGTGTGACCAGGCACAGACTAAAGGGGCTGTTTCTGGCAAGTTGAGGGTCCACAGCCTCACATGCTAAGAAGAAAGAAACACCAGTCATTCCCTTTTGGGACAGTTTTGCTTTATGCGTTCAGACAATCAAGGCTCACCCTTACAGCCATAGTTTAGCTGCCACCTAGAAGGTACACGACGGCCAGTGGCCAAGTGGAGGTGGCATCAGCACAGGCTCCCCCTGCCCTCCGCCCCCACAGCACGGCTGTGTGCACACAACACTCACACCCACACGGCGTGGGGGGAATACAAGAGGAAGGACATGGGGAGGCTGCAGCAAGGCTCACTGCCTCTAGTTAACACGTGTGCACAAAGCTTTGGTTCACAATGGCGCATCTGGCTGTTCTGAGGGCAAACAGTCATATAGTCAAATGAGGATTCACAGCTGCAGACAGGAAGCAAGACAGAAGCAAGTGTCTAATTACAGCAACTTGATTTGAAGGTTTTGTTTTATAAAGGTCAACAGAGAAGCCAACTTCCGTCACATAGGTGGTAAGGAAGGGATACACTGTGGGAGGCACGCAAGACCGACATTCTGTATTCCTGAAAACAAATGCCATCAACACCAACCACGGGGGACAGGATGGAGAATAGGCACGCCCGTGGAGAATGCAGCCCAGCAGTGGGCCCCTACAGCCAACAGTGCACCCCTGAACAGCCCCTAGGAACAGGGAATGTATGGCCACCAATACCTTGCACATGGGGACAACCCAGAGCCCCAAGCACACCCACATCCCCTGGGGCTCAGGGTAGGGACATACCTACCCGTTGCACCTGTCTGCAGGAGCCACCTGGAGAGCCACTGACTGCTGATCAAAGGAACAGGTGGCCGTGAGGCCTGGCTGCACAGGGCAGGTGCCCTTAAAATCCAGTGCAGCCACCGTCACAGGCAAGACCGCCGCCCTCCACATGCTTGTGCAAGCTCCAGGCAGGAACGCCACTTTGTGAGCACAGATGGTCTACATGAACGGTCCTGGTTTCCTCTTCTAAAATCGTGCTAAAATGCTTAACTTGTTTATATCTGCTACGTGATTCCAAATCTATCTTCTACTCTCGCTGTAAAAGTTTCTTCCCAAATGCTAAAATATCATAAAAGCTTTAAAAATTGATGGGTGGACAGATGGACTTGACTGTGCAAAAGTCTTCAGTAAAAAGTTGCCAGAGGCCAGTGAAGAGGGCCTCGGTGTCTAAGAAGGCGTGTTTTTAGGACATTAAGACTTACTCCGAAGAAATGAACCACACGCCAGCGCAGGGTAACAAGCCAGGCAGAGACCAGCAGACTGCATACTCCCACTGGCAACAGGTTTCAGGAGTGGAAAAGAATCACCTTGAGGGCTCGCCTGCAATCTCTGAAAAATAGCTGATTCTAAAATTGTGTTTATTTTAAGCCAAAAAGGTCTGAAATACTCCTTCCTATTATAACCTTTTCAGAGTAAAAGGGAAAACACAAGAGGCAGGAAAGGGGCGGGGGTGCCAGCACGCACCTTCTGACCAGACCCCTGCAGTGGCCTGCGAGAACCCGAGGAACAGAGTGCCACAGGACTCAGCCACCACTTTCTCAGTCTGTCACTTCTTGTCTGTGCATGTACTGACACTCATGAAAACCTTCATCAAACCAGTCTGCAGCAAGTCCCCAGAGGCAGAGGTCATTCACAGCTGTTGCCAAGCTCTTGGCTCTCACCCGGGTGGGTAAGTGGAGTCCATCCTTGAACACATCCACTCAGACCTGTGGGCGGCCCCCAAGGAAGAGCTGCGTGGCCCAGCTGTCCCCGTGCACCAGAGCCCCACCCCTCTGGCCCCGGCCTCAGATGCCTGGCCGCAGGGGAGGAACTCAAATCAGAGGCCCAAGGCTGCAGAGTGAGTGGCGGGTGGTCTCCCTGGCAGCAGAGCTGGCAGTCCCCGCGCCTGACCCTGCTGCCTCCCTCACACGTCTACAGTGCACAGGGGCTCGCCACCAGGCTGGGCAGACGCCACAATAGACATCTTGGGCTTCTTCCGAGTCTCCTCCTGGAAGAACAACGAAGGTCAGGGATGCCAATGATGTGGGAACATGTCGCCGAGCCCAAGCTCAAGCAAGAGGTGCCCAAGGTAGGGAGCAATGTGGGGGGTGAGGACAGGGACAGTGAGCTCAGCACATTAGTGCCGTAGCCTCTAGCAGGAGGACACCACTGTTCTGCCATACCAGGTGGAGGGAGGGGAGGCCTGAGAAGTGGGCCAGATGGGAGGCTGGCTGGGTCTCCCTGGATGCTGTCTCACAGCACTACATGCTGGTGCTTCCCTGGGCCTCAGAATACACCCAGAAGTGAAGGGCCAAGGAAGTTACAGCCACCAGGGACAAGCCACATGGGTGGGTCTCTCTCCCTACTCCAACTTGAGGGCAGGGGTGAGGCATCTCTTGCACCAGAAAGGTGAAACAGCAGATACCCTCTTCTCAGGGTTTTATACGGGCCCAGGCAAATACCACACCTAAAAAAGGTCCTAGTCTAGAAGCCTGTCAAGCGGGTGGCTTGAGGAAGTTGACCAGCACCAAGCCTTGCCCAGGTCCACTTGCTCTGTGAACCATGCTCCTCTCTTCCAGAAATGCCAAGGGCCTGAGGTATAGGTCCGTGATGGCAGTTTGTCGCCCACTGGACCCTGAGTAAGGGAGGCCTGGCAGGTGCACTGTCCCTGCTTTCAAACAGCTGGTACTAAGTAGAAACACCCAGAAGCCAAGCCCTTCACAGCTGCAGGCCAGGGCTGAGAACTCTGATATAACTAAAAAATGATGTGATGTGATGCAAGTGCCATGAATGCTGAAACAAAGAAAAGCAAAGGTACTCTGGAAGTGCTGCGGGCTCACTGGGAAGAGGGAGTACTACACTGGCATCAGGAGCCAGGGACGGGTTCCTGCAGGCTGACGTCACCCCCACAGCAGCCCACGTGACCCTGTTTCAGCCCTCCCCTCCTGAGTGCAAGGGGATGAGGGAGTCGAGGGGCCATGGCCGGGGTGCTGGCAGGGCCTCCTGCTCACCCTCTCCTCGGCCAGCCTCTTCATCTCCTCCTGCAGCTTGCTCAGGATGTGCAGGTTTGGCTTGTTCTTCTTGGCATACTGCTGCAGCTCAATCACGCTCTTGTCCGAGGTCTCCTGGGGGAGCACCGCGCCTGGCTCTCAGGAGGGCCCTAGACAGGCCTCAGCGACACATTGTGGCCAGCGGCCAGAGCTGCATGACCCCACCCCAGCTGCCCCACCCTCAACTGGCAGACTGACAAAGCCGCAGAGAACGAGACCAGTCCACGGCTGCCCCAGCTCACTTTCTGGCCATGCCACCCCCACTTCCACCTCACCCTCAGCAGGAAGAAGCTATGGCCTCTTCCCTTCATAAGGCAAAAGCACCCTAGCACGCAGCTGCCTCCAACTCCTGCCGTTGGCATGGAGCACTCGACCTGCCCTGACCCTCATAACGTAACGGCCAGAGCACGGCCTCAGCCAGCAGCAATGGCGCGCTGCCAGATGGGACACACCCTGGCACTGGGAGCCCACCAGCCCCAGACACGGGGCTCTCTGCATGCCCTATGACTTTCAGCACAGGACCAAGCTGTCCTGAGGCCCTTCCTGGGTGAAGTGGCCATCTCTGAGAACGCCTGCTGCGCCTAGGAGTGTCAGACTCCACCTGTCCTCCGAAAGATGTCAGCTGGGGCTGTGCCCAGACAGGACCCTCGCCCTCCAAGCTTGGAAGGGTTTCCACTCATGGGCCAAAGCAGGCTTTCTCCCTCTCAATCTTAGTCCAACCAAGATGCTGCACAAAAGGAAGGGACATAAAGGCACAAGTCAGCTTCATCTGCACTACATCTGAATTTTCTCAGCAACTCCTATCTTGAGGTTCCTCAAAGCACTCTAGGTGCCCAGTGTCACCACCTTCACTCCATCTTGTCAAGTCCAAAATGAGGGCCTCTTCAGGGATACCACAATGACCACCTCTCCCCTTACTGGGGTGCCAATAACCCGAACTATTTCTGGAAACATTAGGGGGAAACTTAAAAACCACAAACACCTCCCCATATTTCCTTCCACCTCACAAAGCACACAAATCTAAGGGAAATGATTTAAATCTCAGCAACACAGCAAAACAGCCTAAACTAACCAGATGACACATTCACGCTGTTGAGTTAAAGGTAAACCGATATTTATAGCCAGGAAAAGCTGTCCTGCATCTCTTACTCTCTCAAGCTCCTAGAGGTCCTCAAATTAATCCAAAGGCTTCCAGCCCTGTGCAGCAGAGCAGTCAAGACAACAGGGCTTAGCTAAGAAGCTTCCTCTCCACTTGGGCTGGCAGCACCCACCACCTGCACCTCCTGTTGGGCAGCCTTTCCCATATAGCCAGTGCCAGACCCAGGCTTCTCAGGGAGGGAGGCACAGCAGAAATGACCTCCCATCCCCCAAGGTCACAGACATGCCCAGTAGAGGGCCCAAGAGACAGCACTGAACAAGAGTAGAGCTGCCCAACTCTGCCCCTGGGACAGCGGGACCCCAAACACGTGCTCCACGGTGGGGGCCCAATTACCTGTTTGACCATCTTGCTGCTTTCGCGGCCATACATGCGAAGTAAAGACCCCCAGTTCTTGACATGTGGGTGCAGCAGCTGAAGGATTTTCTGAGAGGCCAATTGTTTCCCAACTCTCTTGTTCTTACCTGCGAGGAAGACGAAATGTGGAGAGGGAATCCCTAACACCCAGCTGTCAACATGGCCACCTCTCCTAAACAGGAGCACGCCTGCTGTGCCCCCAGCCCACCTGAGGGTATGCTCTAGAAGATGGGGTACAGGTGTGTTCTAGCCCTGCACTGGGCACCAGGTCTCACAAAGCTGAGGCCAGGAACCATCCCACCCCACTTTGCAGAAGAGCCCCCTTGGGGGCTTCATGAACTCAGCACAGGCGTAACTGATGAGGCCGCCCTCCCACCACCCCCACACTTCCAGAGCAACAGACAAGCAACAATGGGTGTTGGCAGGCAGAGGGGAGGGGAGACTCCATCAGAAAGCCCAGAGAAGTTTCCAGAGGGTGCATGCACTTTGGAAGGGTTTCTATGCAGAGGGAAGGCAGGGCCAAGGAGCAGAGTGGTCTGGAGAACAGTGAGTGCCAGAAGCCATCTATGGCCAGGCAGAGCAAGGCTGGCCACGCTTCCCAGACAGGTGGGTCAGTGGTGCCAGCATTCCTCCTCTGCCCCAGCATTCCTCCTCTGCCCCGCCTGCCTGCTCCGGAAGGTAGTTCCATGAGGACAGGTGTCTGCTGGATCACGGGGACAGCTGGGTCTGTAAGTGATTCTGCAATTTTCCCAGGGACAACTGGTATGTTATCTTCCAATCTAACCAGCACTGGTTTTGTGTTTATGATAGTCATACACAGTTTCCTTTTAAAATAATGTTTTAAAAAAGTGATTACTCCAAAAACCAAATTCGGTAAGGAGTGCAGGTGATGCACACAGACACCAGAACACGGGGACACAGAGTACGGCAAGCCAGGGGCTCTGTGGCCATTCAGGAAACCCCTCCTCCTGCCACAGGGACCACACGGTCTAACCCAAACGACCAGCCCAATCCCAGGAACCAGGAGGACAGGGATGGTGTGGGCAGGACTCCCACAGCCCTGCCTTAGGGTGGCTGGCTTTCAGAGGCTGAGAGGAGAGGCCAGTGGACACAGCACAGGTGGTCAGCACCCAAGGCAGGAGCTCAGGAAAGATGCCAGAGCAGTGGCCAGAGACCCAGCCACAGAGGCTCAGGGCTGCCAGAGAGGCCACAGGGCAGGGTGTGCCCTCCCCAGCAGTCACAGGAAATTGTGACAGGGCAGCGCGAAGCAGGGGGCAAGGCTTACACCAGCCGCGCACTGTGTGCTTGCCACACGCCATGACATATTCGCTCTTCTGGTTTTTACCAGGAACCACTTCAAACTTGATGGATGTGTCACCCATTCCATGGTTTCTTTAAGAAAAAACAGAGACAACAGGTGACATCAGCGGCGAAGGGAGGAAAGAACTTCAGGAAAGCCCTTGAAAGGCTCTTTGATGAAGACCATGCCAGCCCTTTCCCCAAACCACTTCTCAGTGGAGGAGGACAGTCTTCATGCCAGATCTGATCTCATGGACTCTGACTGACCGCCAGGCACAAGGGGCCTCTGTGCACGCGCTGAACAACTGTCAGCCCAGTCTTTCACAGCACCTCTTAAGCCAGGATAAATGGCTAATAAAGACACTGGGCACTAAAAGAGAAGCCCCCATGACCCCTCTCAGGAGGGGAAGCACCCGCCCTACCTTTTAAGGCACTCGTGGAGGATCTGATATGGAGACAACAGTCCGGCCTTGCTGGTCAGCTCGTAGACCCGTGAGTCCTCAATACTGATGTGGTTAAAATACTACAAAACAAGGAAGCCACTCCTAAGTGCTGGACCAAGCCTGCCGGACGCGCAGGGCTGCTCCCCATGCTGTCTGCTTTCCCCAGAAGTTCCCTGTCCTCTTTACTGCCTCAAGGAGCAGGTCATAGCCCCACCTCACTGTCTAGTTGCCCCCTGGGACGGGACAAGCAGTGCTGTACTAGGTTGGGGAGAACATGCTGCAACAGAGCCTGGTGCTGCCTGGGAGCCTTTTCTGAATCTAAGTGCGATCAGACACTTAGAAATCTAAAGACAGACAACCTTAGGAGAAAAATGTGGAGATCTTCGTGAGATTATAGAAGAGAGACACTAAGTCAGACAAAAGCAGTGTATTCTAAAAAAGGGCAAGCCTCCTGAAAGCTACAAAAGGCCTGGCTGGCTCCCGTTTCAAAAAAAGTCATCCATCCTGGCTCTGAAACCAATCACTAGTGAGACACCACCTAACCCATATGTTAGGAGAAAAAAGGGAGGTTCTGCACAACAGAGGCAGGCGGCAGCCAGGAAGTGGCTGTGACCCCAACAAGGCTTGGGCCTCTGCTGAGCCACCCCAATGAAGGGAGGCCATGGCCTACCCTCTCAGCATAGCCCACCTCCCTGTTGGGGACTGCTGGGCTTCGGGGCTGCTGTAACAAAGTACCACAAAGTGGGTGGCTTATTTTCTCACAGTTCTGGAGGCCAAAAGGCCCAAACAAGTCAGCAGGCCACATTCCCTCTGAAAACTCTCAAGGAGATCCTTCCTTGGCTTTCCTGGGTACTGACAGCCCCACACTTTCCTTGGCTTATGGCAGCACTGCTCCCATCTCCGCATGGCCCTTTCTCCACCTCCCTCCCTCTTCTTATAAGAACGTAACACTGCTCCTCTGGGCAGGGAGGCAGGGGTTCCTCTCCCTCCACCAACAGACTCAGTGCGACAGAGTCGAAAAAAGCAAGGCACTATTTCTGAAGAGAACTCCTGATTCTGATGAGCTGAAAATCTCCCTGCTCCCATTTGGCTATTGTCTTCCAACAGGTCCCCACAAGATACCTCCACTTACAAGTGTCCATATCAGTGGGGATCAGTTTCCAGGGAAAGTTATTCACCAAGACATCAAGCCCAGGCCCCATCATCCTCAGTGGCTGGCCAGGCAGCCAAACCATCAGCGGTGGCTGGTGCTCTCACTCAGCCTACGAGGACCAGTCTCTAACCAGCAGCCAGCACCTGGGCTATGGACCAGGCTGATCAGGTAGAAAACAACTGTGTGCTCAGGATCCTCCCTGAGAGAGCCAAGGCACACACACACAGCTGGAGAACACCCACTCAGAAGCCCAAAGACACCCAGGAGCCACTGGCAAAGGCCCACGCCACAATTACCCGTACCAGGTGCCATAGTCACATGTGGCTGATAGTTAACCTGAGAGGGACATATAGGAAATGCAGCACAAAGGGCAAAAGTGACCCACTGACAACGGTATGGAAGAAGCCTTGCATAGAAGCCTATGCCCAACAGACACTGAAGGACCATGAGGGAGCACCACGGACAGCCCAGCACCCATAAATTCAACAATTCAGAGAAAATGGACTAATTCCTTGAAAAATGCAAACTACCCAAATTGCCCTTTTCAAGAAGCTGAATTCGTAGTTCTAACTTTCCTGCAAAGAAAACTCCACATGCAGATGGCTTCATTGGTGACAACTGCCAAACATGTAAGGGGCGGGGGACACACCAATTCTAGACAACCTTCCAAAAAACCTTAAGAGGAGGAACAATTGCTAATTCATTTTATGATGTTAGTAGTACCCTGTTATTAATACCTGACAAAGAGAATCTGATATCTCTCATGAACACACGTGTAAAAATCCTAAACAGAGCATTAGCAATTCCCAACCAGTAACAAATATAAACAAATATATGCCATGCCCAAGGAGGACTTATCCCAGGAATGCAGTTTTTAAATAAATCAACCAAATTCACTCTATCAATATATTAAAGAGGAAAAGGCCTATCATATCAATAGCTGCAGAAAGGGCCACCTGACAAACTGCCAACACCCTTTCATGATAAGAACACTCAACAAACCCAGAATAGAAGAACCTGTCCTGAACGAGATAGAGGGCACCAACAAAAAACTGACACCTAACATCACAATCTGTGGTCAGAGGCTGGATCACTCCCACCTAAGATCGGAAATAAGACTAGGATGGCCACTCTCCCCACTGCTACTCACCATGTAATGGAGCTTCTAGCCAGAGCAGCAAACCAAGAAAAAGAAACAAAAGGCACCCAGATTGCAAAGGAAGAAATTCAACCAACTTTAATCAGTCAGCCTACTCTGTACACAGAATTCCAAAGAAATCAACAGAAAAAGTACTAGAATAATACAATTAGCGAAGATGCAAGATACACAGTCAACATACAGACAGTAAATTCCATCTCTCTACAGTAGCAATCCAGAGTCAGGACTGAAACCAAAGTGCTACGCACAACAGTTCCCAAACACGTATGAAACACTTCTGTCTAAATCCAAGAAAATGAAAGCAGGATCTGAACACTGGAGATGAACAAGCAACAATAAAATGACATGGAAGAAAACCTCAATAAATGGGGAGACACACCGGGCTTGTGAGCTGAAAGACACCATACTGTTAGGAAATACATTCTCCCCAATTTTATCTACAGATGTAACACAATTCCAATCACAATCTCAACAGAACTTTCCATACTGACATACTGCTTCTATATGTAAGGGCAAAGGAGCATGGTATGGAAGTACTTTTGAAAAAGAACAAAGTCAGAGGGTTCACAATCTGATTTCAAGAATTCACGTCACTGGGGCGCCTAGATGGCGCAGTCAGTCACGCATCTGCCTCTTGGTCTCAGCTCAGGTGGGAATCTCAAGGTCGTGAGACTGAGCCCTGCATTGGGCTCCCCAGTCAGTGAGAAATCTGCTTGGGATACTATGCCCTCTTCCCTGCCATACTCACTCTCTCTCAAATAAATCAATCTTTAAAAAAAAAAAAAAAATTTCATCACATTAAGAAGGTGTGGCATTGAAGGGACAGACACACAGACCAAAGAGATAGAACCAAATGTAGAGACACACCCACACACACATACATGCTGCTCCCACAGATGTGCAAAGGCATCCAGTTGAAAACACATCTACCGTACTGCCCAGCAAGGCCATCTTGGGTGTTTACTAAACTACGCTCACAGGGAACCCTGGACAGCCTCGTAGCAACTAAGTGCTAAACACCAAAACTGGAAATGTGTTCAACGCCCCTCAATCAAGAAGGAAGAACACACCCAGCACTGCCCTATAGTGGGCAGTCAGCAGCAAAAACAACCAACCATCGACACAGGCACCAACAGAGATGAATCCTACGTGCATCACTGAGCTGGAGCCTGGTTCTCAGGCTACCTACCCTGGGACTCCACTGATAAGACATTTGGGAATTGGCTAACCTAGGAAGACAGCTCAATGCCTAGCAGGGTGAAAAGAGAAAATTCTGACTACAAAAGGACAGTTCAAGAGAACTGGGAGGGGGAGAAGATTTGAAAATGTTCTGTCTTGATTGTGCTGTGGGTTACGTGACAAAACGACAGGCATGGCTCAAAACTCACAAATATCTACCCAAAAGTGCACTTAACTCTCTATAAATTAAGAAGTAAATTGGGGGGGGAGGGGCAAAAAGGCAAAAACAACAGGTCACTAATACCTAAATTCTAGAACAACCATGAACCAACCAGAACCCACAGCTATCTAAAAAGCAATAATATACTGAGGAAAAAAAAAAATCACTCCAGGTCTTATGAGTGGGTAACGGTGCCAATTCTGGTCCTGTGTTTTCGCCTTTTTTTTTTTTTTAAGATTTTATTTATTTATTTGACAGAGAGAGACACAGCAAGACAGGGAACACAAGCAGAGCGAGAGGGAGAAGCAGGCTCTCCATGTAGAAGGGAGCCCGATGCGGAGCTCGATCACAGGATCCTGAGATCATGACCAGAGCCAAAGGCAGAAGCTTAAAGACTGAGCCACCCAGGCACTCTGTTTCAGCTTTTTCTTTTTTCTTTTCTTTCTTTCTTTTTTTTTAAGATTTTATTTATTTATTTGACAGACAGAGATCACAAGTAGGCAGAGAGGCAGTCATAGAGAGAGAGAGGGGGAAGCAGGCTCCCCGCTGAGCAGAGAGCCTGATGCGGGGCTCGATCCCAGGACCCTGAGATCATGACCTGAGCTGAAGGCAGAGGCTTTAACCCACTGAGCCACCCAGGTGCCCCTCTTTTTTTTTTTTTAAGATTTTATTTATTTCTTTGAAAGAGAGAGAGAACATGAGAGGGGAGAAGCAGACTCTCTGCCAAGCAGGAGCCCGATGTGCAACTGGATCCTGGGACTTCAGGATAATGACCTGAGCCGAAGGCAGTTGCTTAACCAACTGAGCCACCCAGGCACCCGTTTTTGCCTTTTTAATCAACACCAAGCATGTCCTGCCCACACAGCAGCTCTCACACTCTGGATGTTCTATATATCCATGCCACCATTGTGTGTTAACTTCGTGCCACTGCACCTCAAGGACAGGAGGACACAGCGAGAGCTCCCAAAGAACCAGGGCCCCCCAGCCCACCTTGGCATCCTACCGTCCCCTCGCCCCCTGGAGTCCACATAAGAAGGGAATGCTGCCCCCACAGCCCCAGCTCTGGCACCAAACCTCCACAGAAGCATCATGGCAAAGAGGGGCTACTACCTACCGAGCTACTCACAAGGATATGAAAGAAACACTGTCACAGTTTTTTAGGAGCAAGACAGCAAAATCAGTCAGGATTGAGCTGCTCTAACACATCCAACCTGACAGAAAAGCTACTTTCTTCTCTGACAAATTTTAAAACAAGGGAAAAATACAAATGTGTATGTGTGCACACACATACAACTAAATTCTAAGTGTGAAAAAACTTCTCTAGAGAATGAGGACAATTTTGGTCACTGGACACATATTTGGATCCTTG